AAAAGGCCACGAGATGAGGTCATTCGCGGTCATTAGGGAGCCCTCTAATATGAGTTTGTCCTGACTCTAAGATATACTGTTGACTGTAGGCCAAGTGTTTACTGAAGGCCAAGTGTACCATCAAAGGCAATTACCCAGTTTGATAATTCCAAATAAAAACAATCGGTTTAAATTAATCCTTTTTGGTCATTAAGAGTGAAATGGATTTTAAAGAAGGGACTACACAGACGATTGTACTACACAAAACGCGAATTCAGATTGAGGGGCACTGTTAAATGTTTAAAAAAGCGAACGTAAAAAGCTATGAGTATGTGCAGAATGAAGCGGTCGGGCGCTAGAGAAGCTGATGGAAACGGTGATAGGTAGAGAACTGAAATTCTTTGGTCATCACACAAGAGCGGGGAAGATAACAAGGCAAGGAGGAGGGCAAAGGATCCAGAGGAGGACTACGGAGGAGCTGGTTCAATGACGTGGAAGACTGGAGTGGGATAACCCTCTCTCAGGCTTATGGCAGAGCAGAAACCTGGGAGAGAAACGAAAAATAGACTCTACGTTTGCCGTGGACCTAAAGTATACGGTTCAGTGCAAATGTTATAGTCGACCTATTTTGCTGTTGCTGATGTTATTCATTACCCCCCCCCCCCCAGTCCCATGCCCGCTGTTGCCGTGTGTGTTTGGGGGGGGGGAATAGCAGACGGGGACTGGGACCCAATGCTGAGGATCACCCCTGCCATAGGCCTTAGCCCTCGACTCAGCTAATTTTTCTCGGCCTTTTCCCCTTTCCCTTTTCGTTTCCTCCCCTTTTCCATTCTCCAATACTGTTCACTTCCTAAGGCGTGGGAGTCGTGTTGAAAGGAAAGGCTGACTTTATGCCAGTCATGAGCGGCCTTGGGGGGGGGGGAGCCAAGCGGGGGGGGGGGTGAGCCAAGGGCACGGTGTTCCCCTGTTTAGTTATCTGGCCCTTACCCCTCAAGGGAACCCAGGGGGGGGGATTATTTCTCTCTCCAACATACTCTAGGCTTACCAAGGCCAGTAATGAAAAAAATTGTACCATTTTTAGGGGCACTGAGGCTTTCCCCTTTATCAAATAGCCCCACTGATTGCAATTCTCGTCTTCCCGACCCCAGGCTCTTCTTTGACCACGACTCTGAGCACTGCTACCCCTACCCCCTCCCCAGTGCCTATTATCATGTCAGTCCAGTCCAAATCATCCATCTAGGGCAATACTCAAAGAATTCTTCCGATTACCTTTCGTAGACATGATCTCCCCTTAAGTGTTAACATTGGCGGGGAATTCCTCCCTGTTCGACCAAATGAATGTCAGAATTGTTTGGTCGTCTTGCCAAACTCTGCCGTTCCACAGCCCGACGTCCTCTGTCCCAAGGTCTATATAAGTACTTATATAGACCTTGCACCAAATGAATGTCAGAATTGTTTGGTCGTCTTGCCAAACTCTGCCGTTCCACAGCCCGACGCCCTCTGTCCCGGCCTGGTCATAAGCGATCAGACTGCTCTGCACAGTCACGCGCGTGTGCAGTTCAGTTCAGTTAGAATTGCGGAGTCATGCTTCGCCCGGGCCTTTTCTCTGGGGTGGCCCGGCCTGTGTCAACTATTTCTAGTTAACTCATGCTCGTGTGCCAATTGTAGCGGCTCTTATAATGTATTTTATAGGAGCTGTCCTACCTACAAGTTTGAGTCTACAGTGGCTACTCTCAGGTTCAAACTTGGCCTCACTTTACGGGCAGCCAGACAGGAAGTACGTCGACGACGTTTTTCTCTCACTACCTACTCCAGCGCTGTCCATCGCTCTGTCCCTCCCCTTTTCTACCAAGATGTTTCCTCATCTCCCCCAGTATCTCTTCCTCATCCCACTTCTACCCGCCCCCTCTTCCAGTCAGATTCTTTAGTCATTCTAAATCCAGACACCCCAATCTCCACCACTGTTCCAGACGCTCTAATCGCGACTCCCCGGTACCTTCCCCTGTTCCTCATTGCCCAACTCGTCGCACAAGGCAAGCAAAACGCTCCACTCCATCTTCTCCACTCCACAGCTTCTCCCCTGTCAACCTCTCCTTCCTAGGTTCTCTCCCACCTGTCATTTTTTCTTGAAACTGTCATTTAATCGCCCTTAAACCCCCTTACCCTTTGCCAATCCCTGCGTTACCTTAAGGACATCCTTGCAAAATCCTTTGAAAATGATCTAATCACCCTTGTTCATCCCTACCTTCCTGAACTGACTTTAATCAACAACGAACCACTTTCTTTGCTCTTTTCACTATCATACCTTTCTGTAATGTTATATAATCTTTGATGTCTAGCACATTTATTTTGCTCTGGAACCATCAATCATTATTCATTATATTTACCTATCAACGGTGTTCACTTTATTTGCTTATGCAATATCACTTGGTTTGTATCTAGGCCAATATACATTTCTCTCTTTCTTTCACTCTCTCTCTCTCTCTCTCTCTCTCTCTCTCTCTCTCTCTCTCTCTCTCTC